TTTAGTTTAGTTATATAAAAAAAAAAAAAAACTTTATTAAACAAAACTATAAGGACTTGTTTGTTTTCATGAGCAGTTTGTTCATCTACTGCTAAATAATAAAGTTATAGACTAAATACACATTCCGACCAAAAATAATATCTCCATACTTTCTGTTTACTTTATTGCGGAATATATTGTCGTCTTTTAAAATCAGTTTGTTTTGTTGTCAGGAGCGTGGGGTCGTGCCATACACACAAAACAGTTTGAAGAACACTGATTTAGATATCCTTACCATCATTGTCATTCAAACAGTGGCTGTGACAGTAAAAACTTGTCTACGTACCTTCAGGGCGTATTGGGCATATATATAGAGCTAGACCTACATTTTATAGACCAATCGGCACTTGGTGGGGGATATATCAGCCGGCCGCCTTTACATCCCAGGACTTGTACCTGGTGCCGATTTAAGGTCGGGTCGACCTGGTAGTCAAAGTCATGTATGAGGAAAAAAGCCCAGCTCCAGCGGTTTTGAACCCATGAATTTCACGTAAACAGACGAACGTCTAGAAGCTACACCAAGGCGGATCCCACTGTGAATATAGGCGTGTGTAAGTGTGTGTATATATATATATCTTACCTTGATACAGGGACATCACCACAATCAAGACCATGATGCAACCTCTGAGCTCCATTATGGCCACAGAACCTGGCGTAGAGATACAGTGTGTATATTAGCAGAGTCGGCGTCTGTGGCTTCGGCGTTGCAAAGTGCTTCGTAATGCTGGGGTATCGGATTCGATCCCAGCTGCTTCTAGGGGGGGGGGGGAGGAGGGGGCAGAAAGAGACAAGGAAAGAAAATGACGGACAGTTTGGCATCATGGTATGGAAGATTATCTGTGTCAGAACTGACTGTAAGTACGTGAGACAGAAGGTTGCGTATAGACAAGCCGATGATACCTAACAATACTGTGTAGCATTGTCTGCCACCACACCAACAATTCATAAGGGTGACCCTTATTATAATACAGTGATTGTAGTCTTGATTTGATTACTCTGACTTGTTGGTAATGAAGATGACGATCATGATATTATTATGCTTAAGAATATAGTGATGGCTGGAAATGCTGGTTATAACAACGTCGCCAATGACAATGAATACGCGAGTGACAGTGTAATCAATTACCAAATGACATCAAAGTGAAATAAACTAATGCGAACGGCTCAGTGGCTGGCTTTGCACCTATCAAGAATGGGCCATCTGTGGACGATAGAGACATCATCAGAGCCACAAGACCGAGTAAACGCTGTGAGGATTTTAATGTCGAGGGGAATAATTCTTTACTGAAGTGACTGCATAGCCTGGGTGTACCAAGTGGAGCAGCCAGACAAGGAAACTAGGCTGGAGTCATCCGTCGTTATACCAACCAGAAGAGAATTGAACTCTTCTTCATTTCTCTACTCCTGGAATGCTTCATGGCAGGACGAGGTCTTTGTTCACTTCGTATAAAATAATTTTCAGTGTCTCTGATATTTCTGCGATCCATATCTACGTGGTCGACCTCTGATCTGTTACCGTTGTATTCGAATAACATTGCTCTCAGTGGTGCCCTGTCTCATGTCAATCTTGTGACATGGCCAAATCATTTAATTTGTTTTCTACCTTAAAGTTCAGTATTGGTTCTGTGCCGACTCTCCTCCTGATATCGTAGTTCCTAAGTCGATCTTTTCTCGTTACACCTAGCAAAGAACCTAAACATTGCATTTCTGTCGTGATTACTTTCCTGGTTAGCCTACAATCAGAGACATAATTAGAGACATACTCTGAAGGAGGTAAAAGAACTTGATGGCCATGTCTAATGTGCGATAAAGATGATCTTATCGTGACATGCAGAGGTACTGAACCTCGTGTTGTGCTGAACTGGGACGATGGGCTTATGCTAGTCAAGACACAGGTTCGCTACCGAGATGGTCAAGACTGCGGTCATTCTAGACACAGGTTCGCTACCGAGATGGTCAAGACTGTGGTCATTCTGGACACAGGTTTGCTACCGAGAGTATGATCAACATAGAGAACATCAAAGTTACCTACAAATCGGAATGCATCTGTCCGAGAGACAAGGAACCAACTGTCTGCTCGCAAGTAAGTCAGACCTGTAAAATGGATCTGCACACAAAACTCAAGTCCTGGAACACACTAAAGTCCTCTCCGTGTGGGTTAGGGGACCCCATTGCCGAGCGGCAAGGAATAACAATCTGGCATAAATAAGCCAGTAAAACTGATGTACAAGCAAAACTCTGGAACAAAACCAAAGTCCAAACGAGAAAACAGCTATAACTTTCCACCGGAACTTACAGCCGGTAAAAAAAAAAAAAAAAAGAAGAATGCTAAAGTCCAGAGATGAACGAACAACCAGGACTTTCCGATGGAGTTTACAGCCAGCCAGTGAACACTGATAATTAGAAACTAATACAAATAACAAACGCGATCTGTGAGTTAATTATATTTTAAAAGGATGTTTGTCTAGCTTGCAAAAACTAATTTAATATCCATACTTGAAGATTACCAACAAAACTAGTGGGTATGCAGTGTCTAACCAGGAGAACAAAAAAAGTATGGTCACAACAAATAGCTTACTTCACGCCAGTTGCGGTCACAAATAACGTTAGGTCTAAAAAAAATAAGGAGTTTAAAAATCGATGCCAACTTTAATTAGTTAAATTGATTAGAATGCCAAGTTGGCAAGTTGTAAATACAGATTCGGCTATCTTGTTGGGGGAAAAATGCGAGTTTTTTGTTTTTGTTTTTTCTTTCTTCAAATTTGCGGGGATATAGACAAAAATGGGATCGTAAGTTACTGGAGTGCTTTAGGAAATTAAAAGTGATTATTCTCAAACGTGTCGTGAATATATATATATAAAAAAAAGGCGATTTTGGTTGATTTGTGCGAGGCAAGCTATGTCTTTTTCTTCTTTGCTACTGGAAAACCTAGCGGTGTCAGGGCAGGAAGAGATCTATGAAACGGGCCCTTCTGTTTGCTTCAGATAAACTACGTGCCAGTGTCTGATATTTCTGGAGTCTATTTTCTGCGTGGTCGACCTCTGGTTCTTTTACTGCTGTTTCTGTCTGTATAACACTTCTTTCTGTGGTGCCCTCTCTATTGCTAATCTTGATTGTGGTCTGAACAATGGATTAACATCATGGCACACGGGTAGTAACCCATAAGTGCTTCGTTCATCTGCTAACCCAAGTCTGAGTCCGAAGAAGCTCAGCACAGTGCACAGGCTCTGTAGCACCGGCTAGGTTCCTGAAATACTTTGGGTACATTTTAAACTCAAAATTTTGCCCGGGCAGCTCCTTTAGGCTACTCTTTTCGATTTCCAACTGCCAAGAGATTCTTTACGTACGCAACAATGCACACGGGCGTCCGCTCTCACTACCCAGAGACCAGGTGGAACTACTAGAAGTCCAAGTCCACGTGAAAAAAATCCAAGCCCTCACCTGGGATTGAACCCAGAACCTCTAGCACTCGAGGCGGTCAGTTATGTTTAGATGTTCAAGGAAATCTATACAAAGCATATTCATTTCCACCCTATGCTACCAGTGCCAGACGTAGTCACTCACTACAAAACATCAATAAAAAATTAGTAACCATGGAAACGAGGTGTCTGAGAATGGCTATAGGAGTGACCAGATGAGATCACATCAGGAATGAGGTCATTCGAGATAAAGTTGGCATAGAACCAATTCTAAATTACAGAGAGAGCAAATAAATTGGTTTGCTGACTTGGAGAGATTGCCTTCTGATGCTTTACCATATAAGGCATACACCAAACGAGGAGAGGGATGTTGAGTAAGAGGTAGACCAAGAACCATATGGAAAGATAACATAAGAGAATCTCTACAGCACCACGATGTGTTTTTGGTCAAAGCAGCCAGAGGAGCACAAAACAGGACCTTATATATCTTCCTCGACGCGGTAAAAGAGGACGTAAAGAAGAATAAGAAGAAGAATTGAATCTATTTTACAGCCAGTTTGCTCCTCCAATCTATTTCTGATTTGCTCAGAATGCGAGCTTCCACTCTAGAAAAGACAATGGCTGGTGTTTTTATTGTTTGCTGATTTGGTTTTACAGCCGATATTTTACTAGCTGATGAATGGATTAATAAGAATCAGATCTCCCGGAGTGGCTTCTGGGGCCCTGTTGTAGGGAAAACAAAACAGGCCCACTGTATACACAAAAGCAATTTGTAAGAGTTGACTAATTGGCAACTTCCCTTGAAGTCAGGGTGCATCTGCAGGTAACCAACAGTCTGCAAACAAATAAATCAGATTTGTAAAACGGATACACAGTCAGGTTCTGGAACAGAACTACATTCCAGAAGTGGACGAACAAGCAGAACTTTCCATCAGGTTTACAACTGGTGAACGCGAAGAAGATAGAGAAGCAGAATAAGCAACAAAAAGGGGAAAGAAAGACAGACTGAAGAAAGAGAGGGAGAATGATCAGGAAGTGGGAAAATACGGACAATCTTTATGAGGATTCAGATCAGTTGGACATTTAGTGAAAAATTATAGGAAAGCTGCAGAAACGTGGTTTTATACACAAAAGATGGGAACATTCAGGGCAGATAAAAAAAAAAAGTTACAAAGATGTCTTGAAATAAACTGACTCGTGAAGAGAACTGATTGCTTACATTATCAGAAGAAGAAAGCTGGAGGGGAAAAGTGACAGAATATGTTGGACAGTTTCACATCATGGAATGGAAGATCATCATCAAGTGCCTTATCGACTGGTATGGGCGATCATGCCGTTGCTCCACAATCTACAACTGTGTGTATCAGTTCCTGTGCTGACACACTTGCATGTCACCACAAAAGACTGTAAAGAATCTTCTCACGTTGTCTTCCTCTGTCTCTCTTTCCACTGGTCACAACATGGTTAGTTTCCCTTCTTCTTGTAACACAACTAACAAAATATGACTGTCTCTACTGATGTTTGTGATAAGATTTCTTTGAGCCTTCACATCTTTCAAAACACCTGATCTGCTCTTTTTGGCTGTACAAGGACTTCGAAGAAGAATTCTGTAAAACCACATTCCTAAGGAAAATATTTCAGAAATTGTTTCGCTTGTCTGACAGAATCATCATCATGTATCAGGTCCTTTGCAGAACATCACTCTCATCACAGTCTGCCTGAAAGAAACTTGGTCTCTCGCCAGCTCCGGGGAAATAAAGGCATTCGTTGTGATGCTGACCGCATCATCCACGAGTGCCAGCTGGTGTACAAAATATATGCCCAATAGCAAGGAAAAGGGTCCTTTACTTTTTTTTTTTTTTTTACTGTGAATGGAAAGGGAAAATTGTTCATACATGTTTCCAGAGAAGTGTTGGAAATAGGGGCGACTACAGACCAGCATGAGGATTAGTCTATCCAATATAGGTCTAACCCAATATTCCTCAAGGGTTGGAAAAGTGTCCTTTCCACTTTGACTGTCTTCAGTCCAGCCGGTAGTGTCCTTTCCAATTTGACTGTCTATAGTCCAGCCGGTAGTGTCCTTTCCAATTTGACTGTCTATAGTCCAGCCGGTAGTGTCCTTTCCAATTTGACTGTCTTCAGTCCAGCCGGAAGTGTCCTTTCCAATTTGACTGTCTATAGTCCAGCCGGTAGTGTCCTTTCCAATTTGACTGTC